CCAATTAAAAAGAAAAAAGAACAAAAAAAAGGAATAAGAAAATGTTGAAGTCTGAATTAACTTTTCAGATTTGCTTTTGAAGAGTCAAAGTTTCCAGTAAAAATGTGGACTTCAAGGATAATTGTGCTTTATTTGGTATATTGTGGACTTGAAATTGGTACTTAATTGGTACTTCACATGCAATTTATCACTACTAATATCTGTAAATAGAGTGTGCAACTTCTATCCTGGATCTGAGTTTCCAGACCTTTAATTTGATATGCTGTAGTACAGATTATTTCTGTCTTAAACTTCTTGTTTGACCATTTCACTGTAGGATTGAGTAAGAATATAGATAATTATGAATACACAAGTTTCCACAAGCCTAGTTGCTGAAATTATTGATCATTTTCAAGTGCAGTCTCCTATGTTATCACCTGTAATGTACTCAAGAATTAAAGAAACTAAATTGGAAAGTTTACAAGCAGTAGTACAACTCAAAGATTACAATTAGTACTAAGAACTAGAATGAACTCCATTGAAATATTTAAGCACATCTTAAATGAGAAAGAATTGAATGAGGGAGAGAAGAGAGAAGGAAAGAGATCAAGAGAAGAGAAGGGAGAGAATTAGGATAGGAAATATTTGAGAGAAAGGGGAATTCTTCATATTTTCATTCTTCGTCCTTCACTGCTGTGGCTCAAATTATTTATAGGCTGGTGTTTAACTGATTTCTCAATTAATCTCACTAACAACTGACTAATCTTGATTTCCTAACTACTATTTCTCCTGTACATGACATCACCCGCCTTTAATGTATCAATATAAGGGTGGCATTCTTCTTGATCCACAATTAATGGACAAGACCAAGTGTGGTGAAGCCCTCAGCCAAATCTAACTTCCTTGCATTTACCAAAGAGCATGTTCTGAAAAGTGGAGACGTTTGTCACATTATCACATTTAGCAGATAGATGTTGAAGGAATATGTGCCTCCTTTTCGTCTCATCTCAGTGCCAACTGCCAACCTTGACTAATATTTTTTTGCCTGATATATGTAATGTAGAATACGAAGTTCTGAAATTTAGAATTTAAGAAATGCGGAGAAAAGATAGGAGCTTGGAGAAAAGATAGGAGAAGTGCCAGCTCCTATCTTTTCTTGTCGATAGGAATATCTAATTACTTAAGTTCCTTTTTTTTCATCAACTGGACTGGAGGAAATCCTTTCCTTCATCCTAGTTCTAGTTTCCCTAGATAGTTGAGTAGATTGACTAAAGCATGAAAGCCTATGACAAACAGATATTTAGCAGTTTATTGTCTGGCTTGGCTCCCTAATTGCCTTGCATTCTATAGCTAATTTGTATTTTTTGTCACCTTATTTATGAATGTTACCAGCTTAGAGATTCCTCTTGGCAATTGGTTAGGCTAGTGTTAGAAACATGGCCTGAATGGCATTTTGGTAAAAGAGAAAAATGGAAATTTGGTCATAAGGAAAAATGTGGCCTTAACTTGGCCTGAAGAAATGGGATAAGTTTTTTTGGCGAAAAGGAAAAGTGGCTTCAAGATGGAAGCATATACGGAGAACAAAGATTCCATATAAGGTAGCATGTTTCTCTTGGCTACTAGCAAAGGAGGCTGTATTAACCCAGGATAATCTCATAAAAAGAGGAATTTCACTGTGTTCAAGATGTTTCCTATGTGTAACGCTGAGACTGTTAGCCATTTATTTCTACATTGCAAGATAACACACCAACTATGGACAATCTTTATTAGTCTTAGGGGTATTTCCTGGACAATGCCAAGCAAGATTAATGAAGTTCTTTATAGTTGGGAAGAAGCTGGTGCTGAAGCAACTAACAGAGATAGATGGAGGACTGTCCCAGCTTGTATCTGGTGGACAGTCTGGAGGGGAAGGAATGCTAGATGTTTTGAAGATAGAAGCAACCCAGTACAGAAGATCAAACTCAATTGTATTCTTCTTTTTTGTTTTTGGTGTAAACAGATTTACACAGAAGATACATTGACAATCGTAGACATACTAGGATCTTGCTAGGTTGCACACCAGCACATTACTTACCACCTACTTGTAAATCTGGTTTTCAGTACAACCTATGTATTGATGTTATTAATATATACAAAAGTTATCAATTCAAAAAAAAAAAAAAAATGTGGCTTCAACTGTGGCTTAAAGAGATAAAATGACCAATCTGCTAAAAAAGGAAAAAGTTGCCTCCACTTTGGCCTAAAGCAATGAAATGGCCAATTTGGTGAAAAGGTCACGAACTCATATTAATTGAAACTCATTCTTTTCCAATTGATATTATCCACAATTTAGTCTCCTCCGAGTTAGAGAGATTTGTTCTGAGAAAATACTTGTGTGAGTAATCCATTTGTGAGATATTCATTATAGAGATTATTCTCTTTCTTGTTGCTTCCTAGATTATTAGGTAGTTTCTCTAATTTCACTCTCTTTTCTACCATATCTGAAATGGTAGATTGCTAATTTCCATCTGGGGACATGTATCTGATGATCGAACCACATATATCATTGTTTCTTTTTGGTGCATTTCTCTTCGTAGTCTTAATTTTGTCGTTAGGGCTTGTTTCATCAAACTGCACATAGCACCTGGAACCTCGATCCTAACACTTAGCCTGTGTAACTTGATCACATTAGAGCTTATATGTTTGTGGGGACCGGAAAAAGAAACTTTAGCGGTCATATCTTGATCTTTTATTGTTGTTTCAAGTTTGTTTCTCAATATAGGTTCCTTTCTTGCTTGCACTTGTAAACAGCTTTGGGGGTAAAATTGCAGATGTACTGGAGGAACTGCTGCATTCATTTCCAAACCTAGTCATGACTACAGATTCATCCAATTCTACGGCGTTACACACAGCAGCTGCACAGGGACATATTCATGTAGTAAATATGCTTCTGGAGATTGATTCAAACCTGGTTAAGATTGCTCGGAACAATGGAAAGACTGTGCTCCATACAGCAGCAAGAATGGGCCACTTGGAGATAGTTAGATCCCTTCTGAGCAAGGATCCTGATATTGGTTTTAGAACAGATAAAAAAGGCCAGACTGCCCTACACATGGCTGCAAAGGGACAAAATGGTGACATTGTGCTTGAATTAATCAAACCAAATCCTGCTGTATTGGCCTTGGAAGATAACAAAGGAAACAGAGTACTTCATATTGCAACAAGAAAGGGGAGGGTACAGGTTTGCTTGTTTAACCTGTCTTTTCTCGTAAAGCAACTTCCACGAAGTTGAGATTTTTTATGTGTGAGGCGAATGTAGTATGTGTTTTCTATCTTGAAGAAATGCTCGTAGATTGAGCGAATACTGTTTATCTGGTTAATCAAGAAAAAAAGTTTCAAACTTGAGGGATAATGGGCAGGTGAAGAGTGAGTTCTTTTCGTGCCACAAAATGGTTATCGAAATGAGTTACTGATAAGTTCCAGTTTCCTTGCTAGACAGTTATATTCCTGGAGAGAAGGAATATTTAGATTTTAGAAACACTTAATCTTTTAATGTCATATATCATGTCCTCACACACGTGATCTGAATTTATTCTATGATTTGCACGCACTTGGTCAGTGTCTGTTACTTTAATTTAATATGAAAATTTTGACCCACATAAGCTGCATTCTTTGTGTGTACGTGATACGTTCCTCATTCAGAAGTAGCTTATCTTAGATGGCTGTGTTTGACATAAGAGCAACCAATAAGGGGTACTTCATTGATGACTTAATGTAGAAGTTGGAGAAATATTTAATAATTATCCCATTATTTTAATCTTATTTACTAGTCTGGAAAATCTTTTGAAATGTTGGAACGTTTTTAAAAAATTCCAACTAAAACTGATAAATGGATCCTATATATTTAAGAGAAAAGTAGCTTATTTGTCACCAAAATGCGCTTTTCCTTCCAGAAAATCCTGTATTTTCTTTATCACTAAACCTAAAGTCTGTAAGAGCTGACATAAACAGCTAACAGATTTCGATGCCTCCTGAAAGCAAGATAGCTTACTTAATTCAACCACAAGAAAAAAAGAAACCACAAGGACGAACAAGCAAAATGTTATCTTGCTTGTTTCTTCCGAATCCATTTTTTCTGGGATTAGGTCTTTTACATATGGTCACTGCTAAATTATTGTGTTTACATATATGATACCTTGGCGATATAACTCCCAAGTACGTTTCCAAGTGCAGGCTTGTTCTGCTGTTATATTTAAAATGTTCATTTATAGGGACATCAAGAATCAAGCTACTGTGCAGTCTCTAGCTCGAAATTGTGCATTTGATGTTCCGGCCAGTTTAAGTGATAGAAAGTTTTTGAGATAGATTCTTTGGCTATAATTTTTTTTTAATCTAGGAAAACCAAAGTCCTACTTCGCGTGCCCTTTTTAGTTGTCTGTATGAAACTATGCTATGTGTAATTGCAGATGGTACAATGTCTTTTGCATGTTCAATCTAGGAAAACCGATGTCCTAATAAAATTCTGCTATGTGTAATTGCAGATGGTGCAATGTCTTATATCAATTGAGGGCATCGATCTCAGTGCAATTAATAAGGCTGGAGAAACGGTTCTTGATATTGCAGAAAAGTTTGGAACTCCAGAGCTTGTTTCTATTTTGATAGAGGCCGGAGCTACCCATTCCAAAGATCACGGGAAGCCCCCCCCTGCTGCAAAGCAACTCAAGCAGACTGTCAGTGACATAAAACATGATGTGCACTCCCAGCTCCAACAGAGTCGGCAGACTGGCTTCAGAGTACGAAAAATTGCATTGAAGGTGAAGAAGCTCCACATTAGTGGTCTTAATAATGCCATCAACAATGCAACAGTTGTCGCTGTCCTTATTGCTACTGTTGCTTTTGCTGCCATCTTCACTGTACCTGGCCAATATGTTGAAGAGAAAACAGATGGATTTTCTCTTGGCGAAGCAAACGTAGGCAGAAAAGCAGCTTTCATAATCTTCTTCTTGTTCGACAGTATGGCCTTGTTTATTTCAGTTGCTGTTGTCGTGGTCCAGACATCCGTGGTCGTGATTGAACAGAAAGCAAAGAAGCGACTCATGTTTTGGATAAACAAGCTCATGTGGGCAGCTTGCCTCTTCATCTCGATCGCCTTTATCTCTCTTAGTTACGTGGTAGTTGGATCTAAGGAAAGATGGCTTGCTGTCTATGCAACTGTAATTGGTAGCATAATAATGCTCACTACAATTGGCTCCATGTGCTATTGTGTAGTTCAACATAGGCTAGAAGAATCGAGGCTGAGGAGCATTAGAAGAGATGAGACTCATTCACGTTCTTTTCCATTGTCTGTGGCATCAGATACGGAGCTTTGCAGTGAGAACTACAAGAGGATGTATGCAGTCTAGGAAGAACAATCAGACAGCTTTCTGCCTATGACATAAAACACAGCTTTGTAATTAAAACTATAAGCAAATATATGCAGTTCTCAAACATGAGGTCCAAGAACTTCTGCCATGGCATCAGATTCAGAATGGTGAAAGTACAAAAAGGATCTGTGCTGCTTAGGAACAAATGAGCAGAGAGTTTCAATAGATTCTCAATAATATTTCTATTATATCTGTCCCCGCAAAATTCTCTAATGTGGGTTCCTGCAACCACTGAATTGTTGCAAACTGGGGTTGCATATTCCTTACAAGTTCAAAATGAAGCCTTAGCAGATCTTTCAGTTTTCGCCTCATAAAAATGCGGACAGTTTCGAGAAGCATGCTCTCTTGAAGTTGACTAACTATATGGCTCCAATACTAGCACACCAGATTGGCACTCCGTGACAAGAATGTGGGGATGGCTGCTATTTACTTTTATGCCTATATACGTGATCAACTTCTTAGTTCATCAAACAAAATGGTGTCATTGTATATTTTATGATAGTTTTTTTTGCCTCATCATGAAGGTCCATCTTTTCCAGCTGCCATAATTTGTTAGAATTCTGCCAACATGCCCTGAGAATGAGCTAGTTCTGTGAAAGTTGAGCTTGTAATATAATAAGAGCACAACATTGTGTCTTAAGGAAAGGAAAATCTCAGTTCAGGATTGATAATTAGTAGGTTTTAAAGGAGCAGAATCTCTAGTTTGAGCAAGTTCTCCGACTCCAAGAATCATGTAACAGTATTTAGGCTGAACATTGGGAACCCAATTTATCCTAATTTTGCCGGTTATTTTCCGTTGGCTAATAGTTTCTAGTTTGTGCATTTAGCAAGATTGAGGCGTAGGCCATTCTCTCTCTCTAGTATCTTTGTGCCAGCAACCTTTCCTAGTGTGTGTGCGCGCGCACGCTGGCGCATGTGTGTGTATATATATGAAGAAGTACAGGAATGTATGCTTAAAGAAGTGAAATTTCATGTACAATTTAAATGTCACTTCTATTGTCAATTTTTTTTTTTTACACAGTGAGCATAAGACCTGAGAGCGCTGACCACCAAAGCTAGGTGTTCGTAGCCTTGTTTCCACCTATTGCCACGAATAAGTTTCAGCGACTAGACTTTTCCCAATGACCCTAGAGTCGCCACGAATAACCTCAGCCTCATCCTTTGTAGTGCTAATATGAAGGATACATTCATGCCACTTCGCATCCAGTAAACAACATTTTGGCTACAAGCACAGCTCTGGAGAAGATACATGCCTATCAGCTAGAAACCTTCATACCATCAGTGATACGAACCATGGATTGCTTTCCAGACAAATCAGTCACATGAATGGAAGTGTCACCGAATGATGCCAAATTTTGACAACACCAAGAACCAGGTCTCCGTCCTTCAAAGTTGGTCCACCTGTTACGTTCTCCCCTTTGACATGATTTTGAGCTGATGAGACTGCACAGTTTGGTTGAGGTAGTGTATTCAGTTTTCGGATGAGTCAACTAGGCATGGTCCCGAACCATGAGTCAACTAGTCAACTAGGAATTTTGTGGCCTAAAGCTGGGCATTTGTATCTATACTCGCTTTTTGTGCCACGTTTTAACTTGTGGCCGCTTTGCAAAAAAAATTGCAAGCGTACCCGCTTTTTCGCATAACTTCAGCATACGAGGCTGAAGTAGCAAAGACAATCACGCAAAACTTCAGCATTCTAGTAGCCGGGCCTGAAGCTAAAGTTTTTTTTTTTGTAACTGTCGAATTTCAGCTCTAGAGCTGAAGTTTTTGTTTTGTAACTGTCGAAAGTTTTTGTTTGTAACTGGCGAACTTCAGAGTTTTTGTTTTTGTAACTGACGAACTTTAGTTCTAGAGCTCAAGTTTTTGTTTTGTAACTGTCCTAGAGCTGAAGTTATTTGGAAGCTAGCTTTAGAATAGGATCTGCTCAAATAAGATGGGGATCCATCCATCAAACAATTTGCTAGTTTGTTAAAATCTTTGGGGTAAAATCTCAGCACTGGCTCAAGAATTTTTATGTGCTAACATACTCAATTTAGCTTTACAAGAAACAACTTTCACCTTAATAATATTTATCAAAACAACCCCTAAAAAAGAAGTAAATAAATGCAAATTAATCATCCCTGATTGCGAGAACAAATAATGAGCTCCGTAATACGATTAAAATGCAAAGACGTCGTCACTTAACAATGGTATCTTGATAGTTTCCGCTCACAAAAGGAACTATGGAAAATAATTTCTTTTTTAGTCATATAAAGGTACAAAAGAAAGTTTTAACTTCTATGCACCAACAGTTTAAAAGAAATTTTACCTAAAAAATAATCTGCACCAACAGCAGAAGAAGAAAGAAGAAGAAAACGAAGGAGGAGAATGAGGAGGAGAAAGGGGGCTGAAGTTATTTAAAAATTAGGTACAAGTTAAAAGTTTTAAAAAAAATAGGTATATGTTAAATGGGGACGACCAAATAGGGCGCCCCGTGCAATTTTTACCCTAAAGCCAAACTTTATGATGGGCCTTAACTTTTTAATTTTTTTTATTATTTATTTGAAGTCTATTTTTTAGCTTTGCTTAGATACAAAGTAATTAATAATTTTCTTATAATCAATAACTCCTAATAAGTATTTCTCTTTTGACAATATAGCTAATCCATTTAACCTTTCTTATGACATTGTTGTACTTATGTAAGATTTTATCAATTTTAATTTTGAATACTTCTTTCTGCTGAAGCAACGTAACATGAGTTATTAACATTATTTCATAAGCAATTTAGGCATTTGAAAAAGAATTAAATCTTTTTATTTGATTAAGTGTATCAACTAAACTGATATCTTCTAATTGTACTATTTTACTTAATACTTTTAATTCAGAAAATAAATCTAAACTGTCAAAATCGAATTGATAATTATACTTTAAAGAATATTCAAGGTTAAGGCAATATTTTTTCAAATGTCCAACATCTAGTGATCTTAGTTTTTACTGCCAAATAGAAAACCAAAAATATTTTCATATGTTTCGAATTGTTCGAATCTATTTTGAAGTGAAAAAATAGACTTGTCTATTATGTATAAAAGTAATCAACTCTAAAGGACTCTTCAAAATATTTTGAGATTTCATTATCAACATAATAATAAAATTATTACTTCCTATATATAACACATTTCTTACGAAATTCGGGCTCGACATTCATTTCAAGTGTAATTTCCTTGGTAGAAATTATAGCATTTGTAAATCATTCTTCTCTATATTTGTTAAAGAAAGAAATCAAGCTTTTTCACTTTATAGAACTCTTTTTAAACTTATACATAGTCTATTAGGTGTAACAAAAAATGGGGCCCCCACAAATATGAGGCCTAAAGCAGTTGTTTTACTTGCTTTATGGAAGGGCCGCCCCTGCATGGAAGAAGAACTCAAATCAAGATAAGTTTCTTGCTTTCTTTCATGATTTACCTTATTTGCATCATTTAACAATTTTTTACTTCCTTCTTTCTTCCCCATCTAGAGTATCTTGATTCTAGACATGAGGTGGTAATTACAATAAGGTACCAGAATCACAATATATCCAGCATCTTTTATGTTTCTTCCCATGCATATCAGCACATATGCAGGACAAGAGACTTGCAGAGCAGCCATTCTCTGAATGTAACATGAATGTAACACGACTGAGAACAGCTTAGTCAACAAAAGAACTGTACAATAAAGAATTGGCAAGAATCCTACAATCGAGTAGTCTTTTGGTGAACCATAAACAGCTTTTGACTGATCAAAAATGCAAAATTTATCATATAATTTTGCGATAAAAGTAACAATAAAAAATCTAGGAACTTAGTTCTACTGCAAAAATGGAAGAGGGAATGAATACTCTATGCCCAGATTTCTGAGCTGGATACCAAGCTCCTCACTAATCATCTTATGAGTATATACATCTAGATCTATCACGTATTGTCAGCAAAGGGACCCCAACCTTTTACATCAGAGAATATAGCTTGGAACCCCCTTGTGGTACAATTGTTTTGTTTTTGTTTATAGGCTTTCATGCAGATATCAGGTACGATGAAAGCCTTGATGGTCATTCATCATGTCAGACGCACTCCCCACATGTTGAAGAGCAGACCTGTGATGGGAGCTCCCTTCATTTCTTCTGGAACTGTTTGACTTGTGGTGCGAGCTCCCTTCATTTCTTTTCGAGCTGTTTGACCTGTGGTGAGAGCTCCCTTCATTTCTTCTGGAACTGTTTGACTTGTGGTGCGAGCTCCCTTCATTTCTTTTCGAGCTGTTTGACCTGTGGTGAGAGCTCCCTTCATTTCTTCTGGAACTGTTTGACTTGTGGTGCGAGCTCCCTTCATTTCTTTTCGAGCTGTTTGACCTGTGGTGAGAGCTCCCTTCATTTCTTCTGGAACTGTTTGACCTTTGGTGGGAGCTCCCTTCATTTCCTCTGGAACTGCTTCTTGAAATCATGCATACTGCATTAGCTGAGAAACTGCAGCGGAGGTGTACTTGATGTGTTCTCACCTCAGTTGAGCGACTGGCTTTCACATTGATCATCAAAATCACCTCCTTTTCTCTCGTGTCCTCAGACCATTTTCTTGGTGGAATACCATCTGCAGTATCTTCTGTATTATAAAAATCTTCTTGACGTACCAAGATCTCAACATCTTGATCAGATTTGATCATGCCAGCCGCAGGTGTGACCTGAATCAGACAAACTTATAAGCGGCATTGCTTGCAGAAGAGGTCTACTTTCAGTCCAGAGTAGTATAAAATGCTAATTTTCTATTTTAGTATAGAAAGTAAAGTATATGAGCTCAGGTTCCTGGATTAAGTATGCTTTTTCTGTCGTTTACAACATGTTACAAAATGTATTATGTAGAGGGAGTTTCGCCTTTATCCATTTTGTGATGACACTCCATAATTATGATGTAAGAAGCCAGGAATTGAAAAAAATAAGGGACAAACAATCCTTGAAGCTTGAATCTATGTTTAGGCTCTTTTCATAACCGGTGAAGTTTCGTATGGATAAGTAAATTCACCAAAAAATATTTTTCTTGGGACTCGAGAAGAGTGATTGTTCAATAAGCCATGGCCTTGGAAATCACCTCAAGCCAACGGGGAAAGCCAAAAGAGCCTTTGGGACGATTCTCTGATTTTTGCTTGTCCTCGTTGATAGCTAATTGACCTTGGCAAGTGATTTGGAAGAAAGCATTATCTTGTCTGCTTCTGTTGGTAATTATTAAGCTGAATGCTTCTTGATTCTGAAGAAATATCTGGCTGGTGCTGACAGCTACTTCAGGTAAATAACGCAGTTCTGCCAATAAAGACCTGATTTTATCATTATACCGGAAAATCTTCCCAAACTCTTGTCTCCTTACTGATCTATCAAGATGGGCAACTTCAATGTTAAATTTGCATCTTACGGGCTTATGATCACTTTCGGTCACTTCCATGCAAGCATCATACCTATCACATAAGAGAAATTAGTCTCTACATGAAGCAAGAAAGAGCCTACTGAGCGCCTTGAGAAAACCTACTGTAAAATGGAGGCAACTACAGGGCACCCTAAACTGCACTCCATAGAAGGAGCTACCCGGCTATCTCGATACAGCACTCGGTCACACCAAGCTGGAATTCGTTTCTTCTCCCCAGAATCATATCCTAAGGTGGAAAGAGAAAACATCTTTCAGTCCTTTTTGACATTTCTTGCAATAAGAAATACAATCCAAAGGCAATCCCGAACTGGTTCTTGGACATATCTTTGTCATTAGAACACACCAAAAAAAACAGTTTAACTAGTACTTAACAAAGTGTAAGAAAGTAAGATGTTGAGTCACATGTTAATCATTACAAATATATCTCACCTCCTAATCCTGGTTTCCCCTTTTCAAATTTGTAAGTTGGAGGAAATTTGATGATTGCTTCACGCATCCCTTGGAAGACTTTGCCAGCTTTCATTTCTGCTCTTAATTGATCTTTCTCTCTAAGCCATTCAAAGCATCTTTGCGAGACAAAGTCCCTTGCTTCGTCATAAGATATTCCAAAAAGACGATAATTAAGATCACCACAGAAAATCACCATATCAGCTTCAGCAAGGTCAGGCTTTTCCTCATCAGGACTAATTGCTGCAGCCTTTTATAGAGGATGTTAAGCGTTAGTTCAATTGTAAAGATAGTATGAAACTGATGAACACAAATACTGCATCATACATCTGTACCACGAAGCATTTGAGCAGCAGATGAAACACCAGCTGCAAGAGAGAGGATCCATGGCAGACCAGAAGAGTAAAGCAGCCACAGTAAATATGTGGAGAAGACAAGAGAGCAAGTCAAAAACAGGTATCGCAGCATACCAGCAGCATTGTCCAGAAGGTTAGAAGATCGAGTGAAAGCCATTGTTCTATATATATGGTCAAAATCAGCATTGCGGCGGTTGACTGCTTCTAAATGTGCTGCGAAGTGACAGTTCACAAAGCACATAATCCGATCAAGTACTCTTAACCGCAGACCAACTCCACCCTGCATTATAATTGTATAACCATAAAAACATTGTGCCAGCCAATTCATTTCCCTTTTCAAGGAGAAAAAGACAATAACTTAGACTAGAAGACGAAGCCCTTAATTTTTTTAAGTAGTGTCTCAATCATCTTCATTACCTCACCTTGAATGACTACCTAGAATTTTGTCCAATTTTACTACTTAAATAGTTTGATGAATTGTAATCTGGACAAGATCAATGATTTGCTATACCTCTTAACATGAAGAGATACTTACCTTATTACCAAATGCACGTCCTAAACCACATGCAACTGCCGCAACGTCAAGGTCCCCGACATGTGCTCTAAGAGTTTTTCTCACCCTAAGTTAAAGATTAACAATCAATAAATCAATTGCACTTCAATCCCAAAATAGTTGCGGTAAGTTAAAGGGTGTTAATAAACATAATATTTTAGTAGTATGAATAGGCAGGAGCCAATGGAAGAAATACTTCAGCCAATTCAGTCCAAAATACGAAGTTTTGCGAAGAATGGGGTTTTTGAGGCACGGCTTTCATTTCAGCTTGAAGAATGGAGAATAGCTTATTAAATTAACCGTCATAAGTTCTTACCAGATAGCAATAAGCAAGCCAGCTAGTTGCCTTGATCCTACCCTTTCGAAAGTTGATCCTTCGTCCAAAGTTTTTCCTATTGCATCCTGCCACCATTGCCCACTAGAAGTTCCTTCTAGTCCTACCTACAGTTGACATTGCGATCAGGATAATGCTATGCACATTAGAAAAGATCAGGAAAGTATAAGGCTTCACTATCCACATGGTTGCCAATATGAGTATCCTCAATTATCAATAATATCAAATACAAAATTGAATTAATGATAGACTTGGAACTATTGAAAGAGATCTGCTAAAGAGATCAAGTCTTGCTAACTAAATTGAGCATTTAAAGCCATCCAGTACATCACCAAGGTTTATAGCCTAGTGGTAAGTGGGAGTCTCCCACACAATAGGTGTGGGTCTGACTCCCACTACCCCGCGCTTCCTGCCCTTCCCTGATCCCCCTATGTAATAGAAACAATTAAAAAAAGAAGAAAAGCCAATGGGTATACAACTTTTCTGTGCTCAATAATTGCTTCTTGAAATGCAAAAGTTCCTTTAGTGGATCTAAGATTCTACCTACAGGATACATACAATGGTAGACCATGTCCGCAAATCTCTTAATCATGCTCAGGTATTTGATAACCAGTTAGTGACAGAATAGACATTGTATATTGTCAAATCTTTTAGCTAATGGATTCTTGACTTTTTGGGCCTGAATAATAGATAGCTCAAGTATTTTAATTACTTATTGTTTTCTACTGAATGCCAAAATTACCAGTTGCAGGTGGTGTTTCAATTAGATCAGCTAGGATCCCTATAAGATGTGTTAGCACGTCTCTGTCAGTAAGCGGAGAAGAAGTCAAAGGCGAATCTCTTTGCCCTCTCTTCAGTCAATGCTTTGGCCTTTGTCTCCTTTTCCCTTTTAATTAGTTTTTGGGACATTGGTGGAGGGAATGAGATGTTGTTTCCCTATATGGATTTGGATAACCCCTCACCTCATGAGCTAGTTTTAGGTTGAGTTAGGCCAAAGTACATTCTTTGCATGATATTAGAACTTGCCTCATCTCAACTCTCTAGTTACCCAATGTTGGACTCCCATGTTATATTTTCCACACTCCAAATGTCTAACCCTGGGCATGCAGGGGCTAGAATGTCCTACATTGGGTGAGGGAATGAATTATTGTTTTCTTATATTATCTTGGACAATCCTCACCTTATGACCTAGCTTTTGAGGTTGAGTTAGGCGCAAGGTCCATTTTCTTTACAAGATGTAAAGGGTGTGCTTTGATAGCTTACAGTTTCTTTTGCAGCAGACATTGCAAGAAACCCTGCTCCCATTTCTACTTCTTGCAAACCAATTACTACAATCCCAACATCCAAAATTGCAGAACCCAGCCAAGTTGCCAGTGCTTCCTGTGACGCTTTTCCTTCACCAACGTTCCACGTACCTACCAAAATCCTAAAATTATCTTGTCTGGTGTATAAATATTTTTTCTCAGCTCTTTCTGATAGTAATATGTTATCAATAGGTCCTGGAGTGGCGAGGGCCCATCCACGTATACCTCCATGATTAGCTAAGCTAAAAACATAGTCATCCCCGACTGCCAATTTTATTACAGGCCCGCTGTGAGCAACCCAACCAGCTAGCAAGTTCCCTTCAAGGTCCAGGACCTGTACCATACCACTTACATAGCCAACCCATATTAAAGAACCATGAGCACATAAGCAAAGAACAGCGCAAGGATGATGATGGAAATCTTGCAAACGATTGCCATTTCCATCCCACTGCACAAGTAAGCCATTTGAACATCCACTCCAAATCATCCCATCGGATGCAAGCACAAGGGCCTCTATTTTCCTATTATCTTCTGCAAATGCCCCTGCCCCCTTTGTTGCAACTCGACGTACAGCACCTGCAGCTCCCATTATAGCATTGCGTGAACGCTGAAAAAAGTTACTTCCTTGTGACTTTTCTTTTTTAGATTTGGAGACAAGCTTGACATTCCTCTCA